CTCTCTCTAATTTTTTTAAAAAGAGAGTAGGCAAGAAACTTTCCCAGCTCCTTCAGGTAAAAGAAATTAAAAATGAATTGAATCACAAGACCTAACTAGATACCCTGTAAAAAAAGTGTAGTGCAGAACTTTGACAATGGAGTATCCAAGTAGAGGCTGAAGCTTTCCCTCCTGTTTTAAGCCCTCAGAGTAACTAAGAAATGTATACATAGTTTATGACAGCCTTATAAAGAGAAAGTGGGAAGTAGTGATTAGACTCCCCTGGATCCATATGCTGGATGTCATGCCTAAGCAATGGATGGGAAAGGTGTTCAAAATTCCTAGCTCTAAGAGAGTTGCCAATCAAAATAGCTATGAGACATCATCTCACTCCAGTAAGAATAACAAAATTTAACAGCACTGCAAACAACAAAACATCAAATGCTGGCAAGGTTGTGGAGAAACTGGAACCCTTATTCACTTTTGGTGGGAGTGTAAAATGTTGCAACCACTGTGGAAGTTAGTACGACGCTTTCTCAAAAAGCTGCATAGAAATACCATTTGACCCAGCAATTCCACTACTGGGAATTTACCCTAAAGAAACCATAACTGCCACCCAAGCAGATATATGCACACCCATGTTTATTGCAGCTTTATTCGCAATAACAAAGAGCTGGAAACAACCTAAGTGCCCATCAACAAACGAATGGATAGAGAAGCTCTGGTATATTCACAAATAGAATACTGTGCAGCACTGAAAAACAAGGAACTTATGAAATATTATGAAAAATGGACGACCCTGGAGGACATTATGCTGAATGAAAGATCTCTGTCACAAAAGAATATGGCATAGGGCCACGGTTGTATGATGGGACTGACATCAGGGTTGAGGGAAGACAGAAAAAGAGGGGAGGAATAATGTATATTGTATTGAAACAGATGAGGGAGAGAATTGTTTAAAAGGGACATATGAATGGGTATTTTTGTCATTACAGAAGTTCAGAGTGAGGCTGCATGGTGGAGTGGACTTGAGGGGGAAGGATTGATTACATAACAATGAAAGAGTTTTTCTTTTTCTTTTCAAAGAGAAGAGTGAATTGGGGGGAAGGGGGTGGTTAGAAAGAAAAGTGAAACAAAGAATGACTCGAAACCCTAAATTTCATTAAAATTAGTAAGAAAAAAAATTTCTGGCGAGCTCTGGTGGCCTAGTGGCAAGAAGCTGCACTGCAATCCCAGAGGTGCGCAGTCTGAATCCACTAGATGCTCTGCTGAAGGAGGGACAATCTCCTCCTGTACCAGTCAGATCTGATTTGACAGTACACACATGATAAAAAAAATAAAAATTTTAAAAAGAAAAAAAAATTCTGATTTATATTCCAACAAAATTGACAAGTTGGAGGAACAACCTTGGTGGTTATGTGGAGGTTCAAAGAAGCTACACTGGCCATGACATGTAAATCTGACCCAAATGCATACCAGGATTAGTGACTTCAGGAAAGCCAATTCTAGTATACAGATTTAGCTCTCGGGACTTCCCATTAATTCCTGATGGAGGAAGCTCAAAAAAGAGAAGTTTACCTCTATTCATAACACAAATTACTTTACTGGGCACTGCAGGTCTAATTTATAATATGCAGATTAAAAAGAATGTGTCAATCACGATGGAAAATAAGCCTGAAGACACAGGATAGGCACTGGAAGCACTGAAAATATCACCCGATTCTCTGGTACATCAAGAGATCCTAGACTTTCTGTTACAAGAAAAGGGTGGTGTAAGCGTCCATGCAAATATATTCTGTTACAGATCTGTGCACAGACTTTATTAGAAAATGTACAGATTCCTAAGGGAAGCCTCTGCCATACATCTGGGAATACTTGGGAAGAAATTAAAGATTAGTACCATCTATGACCTCGTTTCTTCCTCTTTTAGGGTCCTAAAAGACCCTAAAACTAATGTAACCATTAACTGCTACAGTACTTACAGACCATGTATTTTAAAGTTGGTTATGAATTTTGTTTCCTCTAGACTGTAACAAGTTCAGAACAAGGTAATGATTATAGTTGGTTACCACCAGCCTGTCCCATTTATCAACCAAGCAGCAGTCTCCTTTATGGAGAGACAGGAGAGGTCAGCCCTGAACCAGTAGGCAGGCATATGCCCAACATAAGCAGGAAGTAGCCAGAAAAAACCTTGTTTTTCAATTCCCTGAAAAATCAAGACCAAATACTGCTCAGGAAGGATGTAAAGGGGCAGAATTGCAACCTGCTCAATCTCTTCACAAACCTCCCCCCTAACCCCCCAAAGAAGAAGACTAAAACCAAGGGTTTTCAGAAGGAATAGGAAGGGAAGTAAAAACCAGATGCACCAAAGCAGGAGCCAGAAAAGGGGTTACATCAAGAAGCAGCCCCTTCTTCAGGAATGCGAGGAAGTCACCCGCAACAAATCCCACAGGCCCTGGGCGGGGCTAGGCACTGATCAGTCTCAAGAGACTGGGGGTCAATAAAAGCAGAGCCCACCTGAGGGTTGCCACCTTCCCCCAACCCTCACCACACCTCAGGCAATGAGCCAAAAGGTTTGGCTCCACCTGACTTTCCAGGAGTGTTCTCCCTCCACCCCTTCTCTGCTTTTCTCTTTAACTCTTTTGCATGGCCTACCTCCGCCTTTTCCAGATCACGCTGCCTTCCCATTACCTTATAAACCTTTTCCACTCATTTTGCCAAATTATCAGTGTGTGTGCGTGCGCGCTTCTGTTCACTTATTTACAGGCAACTGTAAATAATTCATCCCCTTATGGGAAATATTAGCGAGTGGTGAACAAACAAACAAACAAACAAAAACAAACAACCTAACAAACCCACACCTCTAGCTTTAGCACGTTTCAGCATCCTTTTGGGGAAAAAAAAAAACACATAACCGATTTACCATTTGAAGCAAACATTATCCCGTAACTTAAGATTTGGTGTGTTGTTCCTGAAAATAAACCTTTTAGTTTCAAGAGTTCCTCTATCTGAAAATCACGTTTAACCCAAAGTTAAGATCTATTTTAAAATCAGTTTTAACATCACACTCCCCTCTCCACATACAAAAATCATCTCAACGACGAGATTTTTGAAGAATTTCAACTTGCCTGCGAAAAATTCTTAGGTTTAAAAAGAAAATCTCAGTAATATAAACAACATCGAGGTTAAACTTCGGTGCATTTTCAAAGAAGGGATTGCATTCGACTCATTTCTGGCCATTCGAATGCGTCCATATTGCAAAGCTGGAGTGACATGAACTCCCCAGAACTATTCGCGACCATAATCAAACTGGGGCGTGGATGCCCGTGCCATGTTTCCCCTGCCCATCCCCACCACAAACCTTAAGCCAATAATGTTAAGCGCCCAGAGGCGAGTCCGAAAATGCAAAGGACTCGACAGGGGTCGATTCGGTCCGGCTTTCGAGGTGCAAGTCGAATGAGAGGTAGGCCCGCGGAGGGGCAGCCGCCGCCGCCTCCACCCGGCCCAGTGAGTGCCTTTTCTCTCTTACCTTTTCGCACAAAGTCCGCACTTGGTTCTCGTTAAGCTGTTTACACTCATTCAACTGCTCGACCCACTGGTCCAGCTCCTTTGTGAACGCCTTGTCGTCCATGGCGGCCCGATCCCCGTCCCCGGCGCTGCCCGCCCCCCTCCCCGCACCCACCCACCCCCGCCCCAGGTGCGGCTCCCCTCTCCCGCCGCC